CAACTGGGTGACCTTAAGCCTGTGGCTCTCAAAATCACTGGTGGTGATTTTGCACTACTGGGGGACCTCAGGCAATGCCTGGAGCCTTCTTTGGTCATCACGACTTGAGGTGTTACTTGTAACTTGTGAGCATGCTATAGCTCCATGGCAAAGAATTTTCTGACCCCAAATGTCAACAGTGTCACTGTTGGGGAGCCCTGCTTTCCTGCCTTCAGAGAAGCCCTGACCATTCTGAGCCTTGGGTGCTTCTGTTGTACAGTGAGGGTAAAGACGGGCTGGGCTGGCTTGGCGGCGGGGGCGGATATGGGGGATACGGACAGTCCCAAAGGTACTGGCACACGGTTAGCAGCAAAGGACAGCAAGGATTTTCATTATTTAGTACCAAGCATTGTATTGGATAAATCCCAAGATGTTATTACCTTAATATTGAGAGACAAGATCATTTACTCCACAAACATTTTTTTGAGGACTCTCTGTATGCTAGGCACTAATCTGGTTACTGCAAGTAAACCAAGCAAGCAAGCAAGCAAGCAAACAAACAAACAAAAACACAGATGACATCTCTACCCTGAGGGAGCCAGAGCCTGCAAGGGGCCTCAGATTCCTCCACTTTGCATTTGAGAAGATCCAGCCTCTAAGAGGTTAAAATATCAAAGTAGTAAAGTAACAGGCCCCAGATTTCAATGGAGATGAGCCTGTATTCGAGTCTAATCAGCTCTGCCTGGTTCCCAAGCCCACATTCTTTCTACTCCATTAATGTCAGTGATGGATCCCTGATTCAAAATACAAACCAAAAACCAGGTGGCAGGGTGTGTGAGGATTGCAGATCTCACCCCACCCCCACTCTTACGGATGGCGTCAGAGCCTTGGCCTGAACAGTCTCACCCTGCAGTGTGCATCTGCAAATGATACGCTTTCTGATTCTTTCCTCATTACTCTTTACTAATTCAGCAAATATCTATTGAGTGTTGCTCCTAGTTAGGATGTAGTGGAACTGTGCAATACTATCTTGGTCTACAGGGAGGTCACTGGCTAGTAGGGATGAGGGGCCATAGCGGAGCCCTAACCTGCTCTCATGTGAAGGAGGCCATCTCCATCCCAGGACCGCAGACATCCTTACAGGCAATTGTATGTTCTTTCCATGACTCATTGACACATGTGTGGTTTGTTTCCATGCTCAGAGAAATCTTTCTTTGATGCCCCCCAAATTGTAGGTGTAACATCCATACGTCTGAGGCTTGTTAAACTTTCAGCTTGATTCAGATTTATGGCCCAGTAAATTCTTAGCTGTAAAGGATGTCACCTTTACAATGTTATTTGTTCATGACCCTGAAGGTCCATATCGTCTATTGCAATTTTGTTGAAGTATGAATTGAGCCCCATGAGCTGAAATACTGATGAGCCGGAGAGTGTTAGACAAGGGAACCTAGCCATCACTCAACATTCCATCAAAGTCTCAGGAAGTAATAAAGTTCATGGTTCTACTTAGGATCATGGTTGAGGTTACCTGAGGGTATCATAAAGCAGCATTTTTAGGAATACAACAGTGTCATAGTGCAGAGTTTATTTTGATGGAATCACTAAGTCCCTGTAGGACCACTTAACACTTTCAACTATTCTTGATGGAAATGTAGGAATATACATGGCAGCATTTGGGCACGTGCCAACATCTCAGGATGGACAATGAAAGAATACCAAGGCCAATCCACCCACTTTTTTTCCTTCTGATTATTGGCATCACTTAACCTTTGTCTGCAACACTTTCTGGAGCTTGACCATGAATGGCAAGTTCTTCTTGTCCACCTAAGACTGTGGACTTTCCTCAGAGAGACCTCACCTCAATACTCTCCAGCCAACAAACTAGTAGACTCACCTTTGTCTAACTGACCTCCCTCAGCTTCAGTTTCTTCATATGAAGGGCAATAACCATAGGTTTTGTTTTCCTGGATCCTTGTGACACTTAGTTGTCATATTTATATGTATAATATGTGATGTCATGACGTCTCTCTCTTCCATTCTTGTTATAGATAATAAAAACGAGGGTATGCTCTTCAAAATATAACAACTTTAGGAAATGCTGGACAGGATTCAGATGAGGGCTTTGTAGTTAGGTCCTGCAGAGTGACACTGAGACCATGCCTGGTGCTACTTGTAGGATGCAAGGGAATAAGAAGTAGCTGTTTATCTGGCCCAGTGATTAGTAAGTCTCAGCCTCATTCTTTTTCCACTCCCACCCTTTGATCGATCAGCCACCTCTCCCCACTGACTTACCCACTGACTACGGGCTCTCCCTCTGGGCTTTACCCTGCTCTCTTCTGGACCCTCACTCACCAGCAGATCTGTGTGCTCCTGGTCCTAAGCCCAGAGACACTCTTTGCTGGTGGCCCCTTTCTGGTTTGGGGAGCAGACCCAGCCCTTGTGTCTCCTGCCCAAGCCTTCCTCTGTGTTTTCCTCCTCTTCACCATTGGTAGCCACCACAGAGACTGCTGAGAGCCACGGCCGAGTCTATATGGCCCCTGGCATTTTGCCAACAGTATTGATTGACAGGCGAGGCATTACTATCCGCCTCTGCCACTACTTTTGAGTTCTCGCACTATTTTGGAATTCTCGAGGGGATTTCCGGGGATTCCCCGAGAGTTCCCATTGGTTGGGGAAGTGCAGGAGGAGGGATTTCTGGGAGAGATATTTCCGGCTGGGGGTTCCTGGACCAGCCGCGTGGCGTTCGGGAGGATTCCCCGGGAGCTGTGTGAAGTGTTTTCCTGCAGTTCAAAAATAAAGTTTGTTCCTGCTTCAGTGGCTCGTGATTTGTGCCCAGCCAGACTGCGGCAAGAGACTGCAGCCCAGCAGTTCAGAGCTGCCTCCAAGTGTTGGTTCTGCTACCTGTTAGCCAGACCCAGGGCCTCTCATTCACCTCTTTGTGTTTAAGTCTCCTCATCAATAAAGTGGGGATAATAACCCAGCTACCTCACGGAGTTGTTAGGAGGTTAAATGGGATCATATATCCATACTGCTTCAAACGGAGCCTGGCCTGCAGGAGATCCCAGGGAAGAGCACACGTGCCCCTATTACAGGTTCTCACTCCTGCCCACTCCTCATTTTCGGCAGCCCACCCCCCCCATCTTTATAAACGAGCACTTTCACCGTTGATGCTCTTCTGATCATTGTCACCAGGCCTCTGGTGACAATACAATTAATAAATTCTTTCCTCTTGTAAAAGGTTTGAGCTGCTCTCCCTTCCTCCCTAAAGTTTAAACCCAAAGTGCACAGCCTTTCCTCTGAGCCCCAGGGAAAACCTGGATGAACCCTCTTGCTTCACTTGCTCTTAGTTGACGTAAGAGTCACCAACTTTGGAGGACACAGTAATACACTTTTAGTCTCCCACTAGCTCTGCTGCAGATCACACCTCTGACGAGTGGGTTCGGAGGATGATGGTTGTCTAGGTTACTTTTCAGGAATGGGAAGGCTGTTTGTGCTAAAAACACTGACTGTCACTGGGGCCTGCGGATGTCCATGGGTGACTGGAACAGGATGAGTACTCCGCCTCTCCGTCTTCATATTCTGTCTCTCTCCTTTGCTGCCTTAACCTTTGGGTCAGACTCCGCTCAGCTCTGCACGGAGACACGTGGATCATCTGAGACATGCTTGGTCCCGAGCTATAATGCAGGGTTCACGTGACCTAGACTTGCCCAGTCTCTCTCCTCCCTCTTCGAGGTTAAGGACATCATCAGTCATTGTGACGGGAACACTGGAGTACGAACGAATGAAAAGAGGTGGCGCCCGACTTTCTGGAAGATCTCAACCAATTCCAAGAAAAGGCATGAATATGCCTGGCCTTCGTTAGCCTTGTCCCTCTCCCTTGTCATTCCTGTTCCGCGTCTGGAACCCCTCAGCTCCCAGGAGGGGAGCGGCTGATTTGTGAGCAGAGCTCTGGCATGCTTCTGCCTTCTTTGGTCATTGAATAAAACCTTTCATTCTCCCCAAAACTTGTCTCTCAGCTGGTCTCTCTGGGATGGACTTCTAGACCTGGGTTGATCCAAAGTTTTGGAAGTTGCTTGGCTAAACAGTGAAGTAAGATCCTGCTGGCTCTACTAGAGTTAGCACTTCTGATGCATGGTCACCTGGGGGACGGTTGTGTAAGTACTTTTTGGGGGGATTTGGAGGCAACCGTGTCTACTTCAAACTGGCTAAAGACCATCCTAACACTGCCTTGCTCTGACATCCTGTGAAGAGCCGTGAAGATGGATTGCACCTGTGCAGACTGCCTACTGCTCACCTCCCTCTCCTGCCAGTCGCCCTTCCCACACCTCAGATCAGCCTGTTTCTTTACCCCATAAATACCCCTCACCCCTACCTTTGGGGAAGTGGACTTGAGCCAGGGGTCTCCCCCTCCTCTCATTTGGCTGCTGTGGGAACGAACTCTTTCTCTTTCCTAAAACTCATTGCTTCAGCGATTAGGCATTGCTTCAGTAACATCACCACTACCCACTGGACACAAAAAGTGACCTCTCCTCCAGCCTGTGCATTACCACCATCTTGCTATTTCCAATGTGCTTATATGAAGAAAAAGTTCAATTAAATATTGCTCAAAGGTAGAGGTCTTCAGTTAACCAAAGAATAAATTTTACATGCGGAAGTAAATTTTACATTGGACAGTTGAGTTCTCAATTATGCTATACCCATCAAATGACATTTGTTTCATTTCTGTCACAGACCCAGATGCCCCCAGCACCAGTCACAGTGTGTTTCAAGGAAGAATTAGTGGAATGAGCTTTAGATTGTGTCACAGGAGCAATTACCCCAGAGATGATTTGATGACACTTGTCTTGTGCATCACTGAGAAAAACAGCACAGCTTTTCTTGTGTGGAGCAGGTATTTGTGACTGACCCCAATGAGAGAAAATTACCTGATAATTTAAAAATGCAAATTCACATTACCTAGTGTATTCTTATACCCAGAGTATTCTTAACATATATCTATACCCAAAGAACCAAATTCTTACCTATAACTTTTCCAAGAAAGAGCGCCTTGGGGGAATTGAAGAGTGTGTCGGATGAACTTGGCAGATGGTAACTCACAGAAGGATAATGATCAAGCTGTAGGAGAAAACGAGACACTGTTAGAAGAAGGTGACTCTCCTGCACCAGAATCAAATCTTCCCTGCAGGTGATGGCATTGCTCTTTGAATTCTGGCTTCCAGATATCTTATTTCATCAGTGTGGACTCTGAAATATAGCCCAGGAAAATGGGAGTCATCTTTTCCTTCACACAGGTTATTTGAAAACAATTTGAGCTAGTTAAATGAAGAATTGTTCTGATTTGATCTGTGGGTGCACATTTTCTATGGATAATTTGCCTGTTGGACTAAGATTCTTGCATGCTTTAATGGAGTAAGATCTGCTCCATCTAATCTCTAGTATTGAGCTCTGAAATAGACAAAGTTGTGCCTATAGCTTTGAGTTTTCTTTGTGCCCTCTCACAGAGCTATTGTGTTCACTGTTTGGTATATCTGCTACAGAGCAAGGTGGGTCTTCAGATGTGAGAGCTTGCACACACATTTACACCCGGGGCCCCAAATGCTGCAATTCGACATTTTTTTTCTTGCTTTTCACACAGAGGATGACTTTTTGCTTCAGGCAGCGGGCGTCAGAGCCTAGGGGAGTTGGGAAGCCTCTGCTCAGGCAGAGCTTGACTTCTGGAAGGGAGGGGAGTTGGTAGCAGAGGGAGAGAAATGAAGCAGATGGAAAGAGCATCCTGAGAAGGCTTGCACACGCACACTGAACAAGGCACACTTTGGGTCACATTTCCCATGTGCAAAATACAAAGGGTGGAGTCACACATCAAAGGCCTTGACTAATCCTTGTGTCCCCGCATAACAACTTCCTCTGAGTTGCTTTTTAAAATAGATGCAGTCTAATCTCAGCAACTCAGAGGTTGAGGCAGGAGAATCTCAAGTTTGAGGCCGGCCTGGACAACTTCATGAGACCCTGTCTCAAAATAAAAAATTAAGAGGATGGAGATTTCTATGGTAGAGAGCCGCTGGGTTCCATTTCCAATACTGACCACAGGCCAACAAAGAGAGATGCAGTCTAGTGTGTTTCCCCAGCTGTGACCTCCTAGAGCTTCCTGGGCCCACCAGCTGAAAACCTCTTTGGATCCATTCATTCCTCTGGTGTGAGTTCCACACCTGCTAGGTCATTATCATGGAAGGGATGGGTCATAAGAAAACAGGCCTGGGTCCCCTTTGGGGCACTCCTGTGGGAACTCTGGGGACCAGGTGGAGGAGGGAGCTGGAACAAACAGCCACTTGGAAAACTTGGGAAATGATAGCTCCAGTCACTGGTAACAATGGGACTGACCAGGCCAAGAGGCAGGAGGCCTGCCATGCTGGGGGAAGGAAGGTGAGGTGCCAGGAAGAAAGAGTGCAGGGCAGTGGGCATCATTCCCTCCACGCTGGGAACTAGCTCTGCGGATGAATGAGCGCTCATTATTAACAACTCTCTATAGCCAAATCATGAAACGGCTCACTACAGACTTGGAAACCATTGAAAGTTCAGGGTTCAGGGTCGAAGCAGCATCACATTTCAGGAATTTTTGAGTCGTGATCTGCAAAAGTGGTACTGTGAGTTTTTGTGCATCAGAAATATGATAACAAAAGTCTGGGGGAAAAAAAAAAGGAAAAGAACCCTATTAAAGCAAACATATGCGTGTTTCACTATCATTTTCAAAATGTTATATACCGCCAAATGCATCTTGACAAAACACTTATTCCAGCCAGAGAATCTTAAATATTTTAAATCTTAGAAAATTTCTTCAGAGCAAAGGCTACCTTTTCTGCTAATACTAGCTGGCTCCTTTGGCGCCATCTGTTGGCAGGCCTTGATAACGGCCGCTGCTTTCACTTGTCACAGTCCCTAACTGTCAGATGTGGAGTGAACCGAGATGGTGGGCTGCAGTACTTCTTACAATTTAATTTATTTGTTGGAGAACTTAAAAATGGATACAAACGATATGTATCCTTATAGAAAAATAGTAGTGCATACTTTCAGGAAAAGACTCAACTGGTGATAATTAATACTAATTTAAAAATGTATATTATTTGTTTTCACAAAAAATGGGTGGAATCCTATAGACACCTGATTTTGTTTTTTAAAATTTGCCAATGCATTATAAACTTTTTCCTGTGTCAATAAATATAAAACTGAATTGAGTCTTATGGATGACTAGTATTCTGTCTCATGCAAAATACAGTATGACACAGTCTTTAAAAGGTATCAAATCTTTGTGTTCACACATCTGTACTTTTTGTGTCCTCAGGTCCAGTGCTGGGTCAAGCGCATGGTAGGCTCTCAATGAAAATGTGCTGGTCTTTGTTAATACCGCCCTTAAAGCCTGTGCTCAGAGGTGACCTGACCACATAGCGGCCCCTTGCCCTCCCTCGGCTGTTTTCTGGTGGTCACTTTCTATAATTTGAACTGAGATCCCAGTGAAAGTCCTGGTTTATTTCCCTAAGTTTGCCCCCTTTCTGTATCTGCATGGTGGATGGCTTGAATCCTGATACTGAAATTTACATTTATTTATACGAAATTTTACTTCTTTTGTTTTGAAATACAACAATGGTCTGCTCAAAAGTTTTTGAATCTTGATTCTGTCATCTGACATATCAGTGATCCTGCTTGGTTTTATATCATCTAAAAATATGGTGAACACTCATTAATAAAGTCATTACTTAAAAACACACAGAAGTGGGCAGTGACAAATGATTCGAATCCAAATTACCTGTTCAGTTAGGAAAACATTTTATAGCAATTAAAATGGAAAATATGATAGATGTTAAAGGCCCTCAGAAAGCCTTAACTGTCAAGGACGAGGCTGGAGCTCAGAGGGAAGCTCCTAATAAGAAAGACAGGGAGGGTGGCGTGGGGGGAAAACAGAAGAGGAGAACATGGTCCATGTTTCCTCGTCCCTGGGGACAGGAATCTCATTCCTCCCTCACACTCCTGCCTGCTCTGTTCCTGAGAGGGAGGGTGTGGGCAGATGAGGATGTTGTGGGGGATGAATTGATGTTGACAGGTCAGGGAAGGAAAGTGGGCAGCTGATGGCTTGCCTGACATGACCACCATGAGGCGGTGCTGTCCCCCTGCTGAGCACAAAGACCTCAGAGTAGTGACATCAGACAAGGCTTGTCTGTGACTTCGGCCACAAGGGCATAAGACCACTCTGGAATTCCTGAACAGAGATGTAGTGGACAGGATAACGACCCCTACTCTCCTAAAATATTCATGTTCTAAATCCCAGGACCTGAGAGTGGACTGTCCTGCACAGCAGGAGGGACTCTGCAGATGTGATTAAGATGAGGATCTTGAGACCCTGAGACGGTGGTGGAGGGTGATTATTTCTGGTTATGTGGATGGGCCTTGTGGAATCACAAGGGTCCTTACGGGAAGGTGAAGATGAGGAAAGTTCCTTACGGAAGATGAAGAGGGTGAAGAGGAGGAGAATTGACCATGGAGTTGAGCAGCTGGGTTGCATGAGGAGGTGACTGAGGAATGCAGGTGACTTCTGGGAACAGAAAAAGGCCAGGAAACAGATTCTCAGCACCTCCAGAGGCAACCGGCCTTCCTGGACCCCGACTTCAGTCCATGCAGACTCCTGACCTCCAGAAGTGTAAGGTAATAATTTGTGTTGTTTCAGCCTCTAAATTATGCTAATTTATTACAGCAACAGTAAGAAACTTACACACAAAAAAAGACCCCGTGAAACAACAAAAAACAATGAAAGAGCATATTCCCTCTCCCAGCCATTTCTCCAGTGCCAATATATACACCTTGATTCTGTCATTAACTTATCAGTGATCCTGTTTGGTTCTGACTTGTCTAAGAATATAATAAACATTCCTCATCTTAATTCATTCATAGAGCCGTTAACTTAAAAACATTGAGCAGGAATCTCAGTTGGCAATGGTAAATAATTTGAATCCAAATCCATCCCACCTGCTTCTCAGATGCAATTTATCAAGAGACCCAGTCGCCAACCTGCTTTTGGAGAGCAGAGACCCCTGCCTCCTGGGACCCTCCTCACCAGGAGCCCGTTCCTAAAGTGAGCTCCTCCTGAGTGTCTCCTTCCCAAATCCTACCATTCTTCAAGGTGTACAGGTCCCTTTCTCTCAATGACCAAATTTATTGTCTCCCAGCTCCCAATGCACCCTTCAACACACACCTTAAGGTCAACCCCGCTTCCTGCACACAGCTGATCTTTGAAGTGGGCACCATGTAGAGGGTGTGCAGGGACTTCACAGGAGGGAGGGGCTTCCTGTGGGGGAAGCAGAGGTCCCAGTGGTGCCTGCTGGAGCCACAGACTAGAAGTGAGCCCTCTGTGCCCCCACACTCACCCTGCAGGGTGCTGCCACCTGCCCTACCTGCACTTGGGGGTGGTTTGCTGCTCCCCAACACACCAGAACCCTCCAACCTGGGCTGAGCCTACCTTTACCAGCAAGGTCTTGAGGGGTTCAGAATACAACACCCCAAAAGTGCTGGTTTGGCAAATCGACTGCTTTGAGGGTAAGTTTAAAGCTTAGAGACCACAGATGCAGGAAGGGCACTTGGGCCACTACTTTTCTTGCTGAAAGCAGGACACAAACTCCCCTGTGAAAGACGCCTTCCCTCAACAAGAGGAAAGGGACATTCTTATCTCCAGAAATGGGGAGTCAAGGCTGAGAGAAATCTGTGCCCCAAACTTCATTAAAGTAACCCCCCACTGCCTTTGTCCAAGCCCCACCTGAGCTACTTCTTCACCATTACTGCTGTGTTCACCTCTACGTGAGCACTGAGGCCCCAGCACCTGGGGGGTCTTCACCTCCCTCTGACAGCTCTCAGGTCCAGGTGGCAATCTGCACGGTTTTCATGCAAATCCCTCGCAGGTCAGCTTATTCCTCAGGGCAGCTGGAGACCCTAAGAATGAAGAACGTGGCCTCCCCCGCGGTCAGGAACCCTTCACACTTTGTCCTTGCCGGAGGTGCTCGCTCAGCCCCGGGTACCTGTGGGAAGCTGAGCAGGGGGTCCCTGTGTTTTACAGACAGCCTCTGTCACAGCTACTT